ACTGAGTTTGAAGGTAGGCCTTGAAAACCAAACACTGCATTCCACAGTAAGAACATCATACCAAAGGTCAAGCATGGTGGTGGTTGTGTGATGGTTTGGGGATGCTTTGCTGCCTCAGGACCTGGACGACTTGCCTTAATAGAAGGAACCATGAATTCTGCTCTGTATCAGAGAATTCTACAGGAGAATGTCAGACCATCCGTTTGTGAGCTGAAGCTGAAGCGCAGCTAGGTCATGCAGCAAGACAATGATCCAAAACACACAATCAAGTCTACATGAAAATTGCTAAAAAGCAACAAATTGGAAGTTTTGGAATGGCCTAGTCAAAGTCCAGACCTAATCCCAATTGAGATGTTGTGGCAGGACTGGAAACGAGCAGTTCATGCTTGAAAACCCACACGTCACTGAGTTAAAGCAGTTCTGCATGGAAGAGTGGGCCAAAATTCCTCCACAGCGACGTGAGAGACTGATCAACAACTACAGGAAGCATTTGGTTGGAGTCATTGCAGCTAAAGGTGGCACAACCAGTTATTGAGTGTAAGGGGGCAATTACCTTTTCACACAGGGGAATTGGGTGTTGCGTAACTTTGTTTATGAAATAAATATGTAATTGTTGTGTTATTTGTTCACTTATGTTCCCTTTATCTAATATTAGGTTTTGGTTGAAGATCTGATAATATTCAGTATCACAAATATGCAAAAGTAGAGAAAATTAGAAAGGGGGCAAATACTTTTTCATAGCACTGTACTTATTTCCCTCATTAAAATGCAAATCAATTTATAACATTTTTGACATGCGTTTTTTTCTGGATTTTTTTGTTGTTATTCTGTCTCTCACTGTTCAAATAAACCTACCATTAAAATTATAGACTGATCATTTCTTTGTCAGTGGGCAAACGTACAAAATCAGCAGGGGATCAAATACTTTTTTCCCTCACTGTATAATTCACTGTATCACAATTCCAGTGGGTCAGAAGTTTACATACACTAAGTTGACTGTGTCTTTAAACAGCTTGGAAAATTTCAGAAAATGATGTCATGGCTTTAGAAACTTCTGATAGGCTAATTGTCAACATTTGAGTCAATTTGAGGTATACCTGTGGATGTATTTCAAGGCCTACCTTCAAACTCAGTGCCTCTTTGCTTGACATCATGGGAAAATCAAAAGAAATCAGCCAAGACCTCAGAAAAAAATGGTAGACCTCCACAAGTCTTTTTCATCCTTGGGAGCAATTTCCAAACGCCTGAAGGTACCACATTCATCTGTACAAACAATAGTACGCAAGTATAAACACCATGGGACCACGCAGCCGTCATACCGCTCAGGAAGGAGACGCGTTCTGTCTCCTAGAGATGAAGGTACTTTGGTGCAAAAAGTGCTAATCAATCCCAGAACGACCTTGTGAAGATGCTGGAGGAAACAGGTACAAAAGTATCTATATCCACAGTAAAACGAGTCCTATATCGACATAACCTGAAAGGCCGCTCAGCAAGGAAGAAACCACTGCTCCAAAACCGCAATAAAAAAGCCAGACTACGGTTTGCAACTGCACATGGGGACAAAGATCGTACTTTTTGGAGAAATGTCCTTTGGTCTGATGACACAAAAATAGAACTGTTTGGCCATAATGAACATCGTTATGTTTGGAGGAAAAAGGGGGTGCTTGCAAGCCAAAGAACACCATCCCATCCGTGAAGCACGGGGGTGGCAGCATCATGCTGTGGGGGTGCTTTGCTGCAGGAGGGACTGGTGCACTTCACAAAATAGATGGCATCATGAGGAAGGAAAATGATGTGGATATATTGAAGCAACATCTCAAGACATCAGTCAGGAAGTTAAAGCTTGGTAGCAAATGGGTCTTCCAAATGGACAATGACCCCAAGCATACTTCCAAAGTTGTGGCAAAATGGCTTAAGGACAACAAAGTCAAGGTATTGGAGTGGCCATCACAAAGCCCTGACCTCAATCCTATAGAACATTTGTGGCAGAACTGAAAAAGCGTGTGCGAGCAAGGAGGCCTATAAACCTGACTCAGTTACACCAGCTCTGTCAGGAGGAATGGGCCAAAATTCACCCAACCTATTGAGGGAAGCTTGTGGAAGGCTACCTGAAACGTTTGACCCAAGTTAAACAATTTAAAGGCAATGCTACCAAATACTAATTGAGTGTATGTAAACTTCTGACCCACTGGGAATGTGATGAAAGAAATAAAAGCTGAAATAAATAATTCTCTCTACTATTATGCTGACATTTCACATTCTTAAAATAAAGTGGTGATTCCTAAATGACCTAAAACAGGGAATTTTTACTAGGATTAAATGTCAGGAATTGTGAAAAACTGAGTTTAAATGTATTTGGCTAAGGTGTATGTAAACTTCCGACTTCAACTGTACCAACGGTTGTCGGAGAGGGATTGTCCTTCCCAACTCGTGACATTAGTGAAAGTTCTCTAGACGACTATACATGCCAGCTGCAGACTGATATTATAAGGTCTAGTGCGTGGTCTTCTTCTTCTCGTGTAGAGGTTGAGAGTTTCAGAGTTTCACCATTTCAAACGTATGGACTACTGTCTCATGTTTTCTGGTCTAACCATTTTGTAACGTTTAGCTCACGCTTCACGTCTGCTGGTCTGTAGCGTGTCAACCATTTTAAGCCGTGGGGCTTCCTGGTCTGTAGCGGTTAAACCATTTTGCTATATTCAGCTCGCGCTGCATGTCCGGCTGGTCTAATGTTAATTTGTTTTTCATGGCTTTTTATGCTCGGGTAAAAAGGGGCGTTCCATCACGCCGACCCAATGTCTGTGCTTACTTGGGCGTGGTTACTGACTGGCAAAAGTTTATATGAAAAACTATTATCTCATTTAAAAGGCTAAAATCACATTGCTATCTTCACAAACGTATTCTCATACTTAATCATATATTTTATACAACATTTAGATGCAAACCTGATAACTGAAATGTGTACACTTCCAGAGATAGTTATTTAGTAATACCATCCTTAATGACATCATGTCACGCCCTGACCTATATAACTATTGTTTGTTGAGTCAGGGTGTGGAAATCTATGTTAGATATTCTATGTTTATATTCTAGTGTCCTATTTCTTTGTCTGGCCGGGTATGATTCCCAATCAAAGGCAGCTGTCGCTCATTGTCTCTGATTGGGGATCATACTTAGGTAGCCCATTGCCTACTGTGTATTGTGGGATCTTGTTCCTGTTAGGCTTGTATGTGTATAGCCCTTTGGACTTCACGTTACGTTGTTTCTTGCTTTGTTGTATGTTTATTGAGGTAATAAACATGTACGCTTTTCACGCTGCACCTTGGTCCGACCCATCTCTCAACGTTCGTGACACATCACAAAACAATAAACAATATGACATGATTATTCTTTAGATCCCCACCAACCATTCCAACCACTTAGATGTCAGAAATAACGTTCCAATGTCCAATCTTTTGGAGAAAAAGGTTTTGGCTGCAATCTGTCCCTGTAACACATAGACATTCAGATTACCAATACCAAGGACCAACAAGGAGTCGTTTGTTGCAAATCATTTAGGAAAGGTGCGAGGGGTCATAAAACCCCCCACATCAATCAATCCTGTGTTCATAAAAATGACCACGGGAGAGAGAGAGATCTGTAGACTGTTGCTTCCCTTTATTCTGATCTTGGGCTTCTCACATGGGACCATCACATGAGAGTCATGACAAAGGCCAATGCCTTTAAGGACCATGAACCAAAACCTCAACTGTCCCACACGATTCTCTGCCATCTGCAGTAAGACCAAGTTAAAAATGTTTCATTTTTAGTTTAAAGATATCAGTGTTTTCTGCATGCAGGGTCACCAACAACAAAATGTAGCCTACACAGATGCATTTCAACATACAAATAGCAGGCAGACCTGTCAACATTGGGAAATGTTTTTGAGTAACAGTGTAACCCCCATGCTCGTTCTCCACCATTATGATACTCTATAGCTAGGTTTCCATCCAATTGGCGACAGATTTCCAAGCAAATATTCAAAGATCTGCATAAAAACATGCGCATTTACACATCTGAGATGTATTTCCATCAAATTGATTTGTTGCGGATAAAAAGCTGTGCGTGATAACGTAGTGCACATAAAAATAACTTTTGCGGTTACATTTCCATGTACCGAATAAAAAATAAAAGTTAATTGGTTTCCGTCGCATTTTTAACTCTAGGCTACTGATCGTTTTGTCACAAAAATAAATTGCATTATATGTGTCCACTTGTGCTCTAGCCAACAACTCACAGATACCGGTCTTTAATGGCGGGTCGTCTGAAAAAAAACTGGAAAAATATGTGTAGTCTTAATAAAACAATATTCCACCACCATTTTCTGATTTTCTGACAATTTAGAATGTTTCACACCCTTGGCTGAACACCCTTGTCCAAAAATGGGGGTGGTTAATGGTGTTCTATTAAGAAAGTACACATATTTTCCGGGTTTTTTTTCTCGACTTCCCGCCATTAAAGCTACTTGAGGGAAGTTATGCCTTTGCAGCCTGAATGGAGGATGCTTTATGTACGAGCCAGTCCATGGGGAAGTGTATTACCTGCTGGGCACATCAATCCTAGATGATAGTGCAGATTTCTATAGTAATTACTAGAATATTACTAGAATATTCTTGTAATAAATGTGTATGTTAGTTTTATAGGATGACTATAGATTTTTACTGCATATTTTGCATTAAGGTTGAACCAAAAGATTACATGTAATAAAGATGAAATGAAAATAATATTTGTATATGAAATTAAATAATATATGTTGATGCTAATACTATGTACAATGTCTAATTATGTTGCAATATGATAGCCTAATATATTCAACAAAAAAAAATCATTCTCATCACCCTAATAACGATGACACACCCCTCACTATTGTCATTGGTTGCACTAATTACACTGCCTACGTAACCTGGTTCAAGCATTCATGACATTACCCTGAAGGCACAGTACTGCTGAAACGTTGGTGGTTTACCCAATAAATTACTGGGAGCTTGTATATAAAGTGCGGAACAATTTTTATTGCCCAGGGTGTGTGAAATTTTATGGAATACGTTTACTGAACTCTCCCCTATTGGTTTATCATTCAAAAGCATCTAGGCCTGTATGGCGTAAATCTTTCATGTTGGTTTAGACCAAACAATCTCCCCCATTTGTCCTTTCCTCCAACGATGTACTGCTCCTTGCCACAGGCTGGGTGGATCTTAGCCCTCTCTGCTGTCACAGTCAAGCACCAGATGGTTCTCTGGGTAATGGCACATTCTGGGATGTAGTTCCAGCCGCTCCTGTGCACATGTCCTTGTCATTGATAAATGACAGTTGACCATTGACAAACAACCATAGGCCTCTGTCAAATATGTTAAGGTCAGTAGGTTCAGAGTAAATGTTAGCCATAAGACGTGACAAAAGTAATTCCAGAAGTCAAAGAATAAGTCAAACACTTGTTTATTCAATAAGAGGAAACTATATCCAGGTACTATTCATAACCACAGAATGGGACTACGTTTCGTAATAGGCTGCATTAATTAATTTCAAATGGGTAACATAATGTTGTCAACAGAAACAGAAAAGACTGGAATGTTAAAAACAAACTGGACAAAATGTTTATACTAAAACGGCCTTCCTCTGGGAAGACTACAGGTGGACGACAATCCTCTCAATCAGCCGAGGTCTGTATCTTTATCCATCTTTCTCTGAAAAAATAAAATAAAATCAGTGTACATTGTCAATCCATTATCTATGTTAACCCATAACACCAGCTAAAACAGATCCCCTAAAAAGTCCCATATCTTTCAATTTGGTTGAGATTCCACAAGCATAGGTGATACTAGCTTAAGTAAACAAGGTTTCCCTTGACGGATGAATATTCGACATTTAACATTGAACCCTGAGGAATGTTGAGAATATATATTCTGGCCTCCAAGGTCAACTACATTTTCCGACTAATACGCCACAAAGTATGATTCATAAAATTGACTCTTGTCATAGTTGAAAATTACCTTAAGGTTCAGGTAATGTTCCTCACTGCAACAGTGGACTGATTTGGCTGTTTTCTCATTGGTGTAGAAGATGTTGCACAGCTTGCAGAAGAATCCAGTCCTTGGTACCAGATAGTCTAACCCTGCAAGTAAAAGGAGAGAAAAAAAAAACATGTTTGTGTTCTGACGATATGGCAGAAAAAAATATATTTATTAGATCCCTGTCACACGATAATTAAAAAAAGGCAGCCACACAAACAGAAGTCTGTTTTTCTCCAGCCTCTTACCAACAGGGTTGTCAGGTTGATAAGGACCCAGAGGTTCCTCCTGCTTCTCCTCCTCCTCTCCCTCTGGGATAGCTTCCACACCACTGGCTTCCTCACCCTCAGGGTCCCCACAGACCCCCTCACTGTCAGACACAGGGCTCTGGACATCCTGGCCATACAAACACAATCATGTCTATCACTCATTTGTTCTAATTAGCCTGAGACCAACACCAAGACATATCTTCACTCTTCTCTGTGCGAAGTGCATTGACTGATTACTTCTTGACTAACCGGTAACTGTAAAAGGATTGTTCACGAACATGTCTAAATTAAATACATAAATATTGAGCTAGCATTTAACTAACAAGGCAATCTTGCACCTTGTTTTAATTAAGGAAACAAAAACATAGCAAATAACCATGTTTCACCTCTGGACAGGGGCTTTTGGCTGACTGGCCATTGGTCTTTTCATCTCCATGGTGATCTCTTGATCTTCTGTTTTTCTGACCGGCCAACCACAGCTCATATTTGACTGGTGGCTTCCTGCATCAGGAGCAGAATATAATATCATGCAGTACTATATCATGAAAGTGTACTTAGATACAACCCTCATACAGTCCAGTTTAACCATAGATCACAACATTCTTTATCAGATTATTTTATTGGCTGTATCTTCTTCCAATAGATAATCAATTAAACTGGCAGTGGACATGGACAGGATACTAGCATTATTCAAATTCCATTTTGTCTAACTATAATTTCCATAATCTACTCTACTGCATATCCTTAGGGGTAATTGAAAATGATTTACCAGTATATTAATGAGTCTCCCTTTTTGCACAAACTGACCCTTAACAGGGTGCCGTAAAACTTGTGTGGACGTTGGAAGTACTTGACCATTTTCTGAGCGGCTTCCACACTCTCCAACTGGATATAACACTGAAAGAAGAAAAAAGAAATCCATGTGAGAGTCCGTTATCAATAGAAAAACAAACTCCCCCCTAAAAAATGGGCCGGTGAAACTTTACCTTTCCATGACGCCAGTTCAAATTATAGCCAGTGATTTTCCCGAAAGGCTGGGCAAGTCGCAACAGAGAGACGTCCGAGTACTTCTGGAGTGGAAGCATAGAAATGTAGATGGACCTCCCACTAGGACTCTACATTGACAGAAACAAAGTCACATTACACATAGTATGCATCTTTGTGTTACAAATATTTATGCTAGTGTGTAGTTGAGTTTATAATACAGTGCATTTGGAAAGTATTCAGACCCCTTGACTTATTCCACATTTTGTTACATTGCAGCCTTATTCCCCTCAATCTACACACAATACCCCATAATGACAAAGCGAAAACAGATTTTTAGAAATGTTTGCAATTTTATTAAATATAAAAAACTGAAAAACCTTTTTTTACATAAGTATTCAGACCCTTTGCTATGAGACTCGAAATTGAGCTCAGGTGCATTGAGCTCCTGTTTCCACTGATCATCCTTGAGATGTTTCTACTTGGTTAGAGTCCCCCTGTGGTAAATTCAATTGATAGGACATGATTTGGAAAAGCACACACCTGGCTATATAAGGTCCCACTGTTGACAGTGCACGTCAGAGCAAAAACCAAGCCGTGAGGTTGAAGGAATTGTCCGTAGAGCTTCAAGATAGGATTGTGTCTACGCACAGATCTGGGGAAGGGTACCAAAACATTTCTGCAGCATTGAATGTCCCCAAGAACACAGTGGTCTCCATCATTCTTAAATGGAAGAAGTTTGGAATCACCAAGACTCTTCCTACAGCTGGCCGCCCAGCCAAACTGAACAATCGGGGGAGAAGGGCCTTGGTCAGGGAGGTGACCAAGAACCCGATGGTCACTCTGACAGAGCTCCAGAGTTCCTCTGTGGAGATGGGAGAACCTTCCAGAAGGACAACCATCTCTGCAGCACTCCACCAATCAGGCCTTTATGGTAGAGTGGCCAGACGGAAGCCACTCCTCAGTAAAAGTCACGACAGCCCGCTTGGTTTGAAAAAAAGCACCTTAATGATTCTCAGACCATGAGAAACAAGATTCTCTGGTCTGATAAAACCAAGATGGAACTCATGGCCTGAATGTTGTGTCACGTCTGGAGGAAACCTAGCACAATCCCTACTGTGAAGCATGGTGGTGGCAGCATCATGCTGTGGGGATGTTTTCAAATCAAATCAAATCAAATTTTATTGGTCACATGCGCCGAATACAACAGGTGCAGACATTACAGGGAAATGCTTACTTACAGCCCTTAACCAACAGTGCATTTATTTTAAACAAAAAAGTAAGAATAAAACAACAACAAAAAAGTGTTGAGAAAAAAAGAGCAGAAGTAAAAATAAAGTGGCAATACAGGTGTGCCAAGCTTGTAGTGTCATACCCAAGAAGAATCGTGGCTGTAATCGCTGCCAAAGGTGCTTCAACAAAGCACTGAGTAAAGGGTCTGAATACTTATGTAAATGTAATATTTCAGTTTTGTAATTTTAATAAATTAGCAAACATTTCTAAAAGACTATTCTTGCTTCGTCATTATGGGGTATTGTGTGTAGATTGATGGGGGGGGGGGGGGGGACAATTGAATTAGTTTTACAATAAGGCTGTAACGTAAGAAAATGTGGAAAGTCAATGGTACTGAATACTTTCCAATGCACTGTAACTCAAATCTCTCATCAGATGCATAACATGTACACCATAGAATACTACACCATTTAGCAGACACCAAACCCACCTCCAACTTTTTCTGTGAAAAGCACATGCTAACATTGACACGTTTCCGCAACAACTCTCCTTTGCCTTTGTAGAATTTCACCATTTCACGTACTTCCTCTGTAGTTTCAAGCTCTAACCATGCCTGAAAATATAGAAAAAGCTCAATGTCATAAAAACTAGGACAGCAAACGCTTGCACAAATCAGGGGTTGAGTAAAACTCCTCCCTGTATGCCGAAATACATTGTCAAATTGTTATTCACCACTGTTGCTGCGACAAAATTATTCCCATAAAGAATAAATACACTGATCCCCAAATAACATATCTGCAAGTAACATAATTTTGAACATACCTCCTGTTTGAGGAAGGATATGGAATGGTTGACAACTTTCACGTTTGCTCGCTCTGCCAGTTTCAATAGGGCCACCTCCACGTTTCCATAGCCCTTTCTAATTGGGCTAATATGGACAACTTTTCCATCCTGTAGAAAACAATTTTACTGCGCAACCTATATCATAATGTTGATAAGCACTTTATGACATTCAAAAGGGCAGAAGGGGGGGGTTTTTCCCCCCGGGGGTTTTTTTTAAGGGCCCAAGGGGGGGAAAAAGGGATTAAAAATTTTTGGGGGGGAAATTAAGGGGGGCAGTGCAAATAGTCCGGGTAGCCATGATTAGCTGTTCAGGAGTCTTATGGCTTGGGGGGTAGAAGCTGTTGAGAAGTCTTTTGGACCTAGACTTGGCACTCCGGTACCGCTTGCCGTGCGGTAGCAGAGAGAACAGTCTATGACTAGGGTGACTGGAGTCTTTGACAATTTTGAGGGCCTTCCTCTGACACCGCCTGGTATAGAGGTCCTGGATGGCAGGGAGCTTTGCCCCTGTGATGTACTGGGCCGTACGCACTACCCTCTGTAGTGCCTTGCGGTCAGAGGCCAAGCAGTTGCCATACCAGGCGGTGATGCAACCAGTCAGGATGCTCTCGATGGTGCAGCTGTAGAATTTTTTGAGGATCTGAGGACCCATGCCAAATCTTTTTAGTCTCCTGAGGGGGAATAGGCTTTGTCGTGCCCTCTTCACGACTGTCTTGGTGTGTTTGGACCATGATAGTTCGTTGGTGATGTGGACACCAAGGAACTTGAAGCTCTCAACCTGTTCCACTACAGCCCCGTCGATGAGAATGGGGGCGTGCTCAGTCCTCTTTTTTTTCCTGTAGTCCACAATCATCTCCTTTGTCTTGGTCACGTTGAGGGAGAGGTTGTTGTCCTGGCACCACACGGCCAGATCTCTGACCTCCTCCCTATAGGCTGTCTCATCGTTGTCGATGATCAGGCCTACCACTGTTGTGTCGTCGGCAAACTTAATGATGGTGTTGGAGTCGTGCCTGGCCATGCAGTCATGGGTGAACAGAGAGTACAGGAGGGGACTGAGCACGCACCCCTGAGGGGCCCCCGTGTTGAGGATCAGTGTGGCAGATGTGTTGTTACCTACCCTTACCACCTGGGGGCGGCCCGTCAGGAAGTCCAGGATCCAGTTGCAGAGGGAGGTGTTTAGTCCCAGGATCCTTAGCTTAGTGATGAGCTTTGAGGGCACTATGGTGTTGAATGCTGAGCTGTAGTCAATGAATAGCATTCTCACGTAGGTGTTCCTCTTGTCCAGGTGGGAAAGGGCAGTGTGGAGTGGATCTGTTGGGGCGGTATGCAAACTGTCTTTCAGCAGCAGGGACTGGGAGGCCAGTCAGGATCAAGGGAAAGATGAATGGAGCAAAGTACAGAGAGATCCTTGATGAAAACCTGCTCCAGTGCGCTCAGGACCTCAGACTGGGACGAAGGGTCACCTTCCAACAGGACAATGACCCTAAGCACACAGCCAAGACAACACAGGAGTGGCTTCGGTCTCTGAATGTCTTTTAGTGGCCCAGCCAGAGCATGGACTTGAACCCAATCGAACATCTCTGGAAAGACCCAAAAATAGCTGTGCAGCGACGCTCCCCATCCAACCTGACAGAGCTTGAGAGGATCTGCAGAGAAGAATTGGAGAAACTCCCCAAATACAGGTGTGCCAAGCTTGTAGTGTCATACCCAAGAAGAATCGTGGCTGTAATCGCTGCCAAAGGTGCTTCAACAAAGCACTGAGTAAAGGGTCTGAATACTTATGTAAATGTAATATTTCAGTTTTGTAATTTTAATAAATTAGCAAACATTTCTAAAAGACTATTCTTGCTTCGTCATTATGGGGTATTGTGTGTAGATTGATGGGGGGGGGGGGGGGGGGGGACAATTGAATTAGTTTTACAATAAGGCTGTAACGTAAGAAAATGTGGAAAGTCAATGGTACTGAATACTTTCCAATGCACTGTAACTCAAATCTCTCATCAGATGCATAACATGTACACCATAGATACTACACCATTTAGCAGACACCAAACCCACCTCCAACTTTTTCTGTGAAAAGCACATGCTAACATTGACACGTTTCCGCAACAACTCTCCTTTGCCTTTGTAGAATTTCACCATTTCACGTACTTCCTCTGTAGTTTCAAGCTCTAACCATGCCTGAAAATATAGAAAAAGCTCAATGTCATAAAAACTAGGACAGCAAACGCTTGCACAAATCAGGGGTTGAGTAAAACTCCTCCCTGTATGCCGAAATACATTGTCAAATTGTTATTCACCACTGTTGCTGCGACAAAATTATTCCCATAAAGAATAAATACACTGATCCCCAAATAACATATCTGCAAGTAACATAATTTTGAACATACCTCCTGTTTGAGGAAGGATATGGAATGGTTGACAACTTTCACGTTTGCTCGCTCTGCCAGTTTCAATAGGGCCACCTCCACGTTTCCATAGCCCTTTCTAATTGGGCTAATATGGACAACTTTTCCATCCTGTAGAAAACAATTTTACTGCGCAACCTACTATCAATAATGTTGGATAAAGCAACTTTTCTACACTTGACACATTCAACTACACGTTTCTAAATGAACAATGTCGTTTTTGGAGGAATACCAACCCATGAAGCATCCTTTGACTCTGCAAATAAAAACAAAAGTAATTATTACTATAAAATTATGATCTTCAGATTATTTTCTTCATGTGTTACCCACACAGGCTAAACAATCGTAATAATTGTTATGTCCTTTGCTGCCAAGTAAGAACGTTTTGCATCATTCATTGATTACCCAGCGATGTGTCCCCTCCAGTATTGTTGTCGAGTTCATCCAATGTAACAAAATCATCCATATTCTCAGGGAAATCCATGTCATCCATATTGTCCTGTTGGAAATAAGTCCAAAACATCAATAAGTTAAAGAACAAGAGTTTCAAGTTCCACAGTGCTGCACCAGAATCATATCTAACCTCATAAATATTTTTGGAGGTTGCAATGGGAATCTGTCAAAAGTCTCTTAAAGCTAGGAAGTGAACTCTGTGGATGCACTATTACAAAGGATATTTTAAGCTGTCAATGTCATTTGTTATTCAAACCGCTTGGGTCAGTCCAGGTTAACCATGTTAGGGCTGAACAGATAGGCATGTCTACTGATCCACAATGTTTGGCTGACTTTCAAGTGCTTAAGCGCCTGTTCTGGATTACTACTGACAGTCTAGGTTTCTGGAAACAATTGGAGCTTGTACAGAGATGGCTCTATCACCTTTGATATTCAACCATGGAACATAAGGAGACCCTTCAAATCTTATCTCCATCTGATTTGTAGGGCACTCATAAAACTGATGGAATTAATAACCCCTGAGCACATCATCTAGCCTACATACAGTGCCTTCAGAAAGGATTCAGACCCCTAGACTTTTTCCACATTTTGTTGTGTTACAGCCTGAATTTAAAATTGATTACATTTAGATTGTGTCACTGGCCTACACACAATACCCCATGTCAAAGTGGAATTATGGTTAAAAGCTGAAATGTCTTGTGTTCAATAAGTATTCACAGAGCTTAAAGTATTGTGTGCCAATATTGTACAAGCCAGGTGTGAAAATCTATTTGAGACTTACTCAGAAAGGTGATTCTAACATATTTACTCAGGGGTGTGAATACTTATGTAAATTAATTTAAATAAATTTGAAAACATTTCTAAAAACTAGTTTTCACTTTGTCATAATGCGTATTGTGTGTAGATGGATGAGAAATTCAATGTAATCAATTTTTAATTCAGGCTGTAACAACAAAATGTGGAGTAAGTCAAGGGGTATGAATACTTTCAGAAGGCACTGTACATAGTGTGCTATGGTACCAAGCAAACTCTATATTCCAACAATCCATGACTCAAACCAGCCATTGCTGACAGTCACAGAAAATATCTTGACTGTTTGTTTAGATTGTCAAGGTTCAATCTAAAGTGTCAGAAATTTTATTTGAAACCTCAGCCAGATTTGAGTGGTTCTAGGCATCAACCAAACTACAAACTACGTTGAAGAGTAGAAGCACACATGCTTTAAGAACACATTGCTCGGAACCCACATCTTGGTTACTTGACATTAACTTATTTTAAATAATGGGAACAATAAGCCTTTTCTTGTTGGTTCCAGTCACAAATATGAATGACAAGAATTTCTTACATCTTCATGAAAGCTCTCCTGTTCCATCATGTTCTCCACTGAGACATCAGCGTCACACAGAGCTGGATCATCGGCAGCCTTTATGTCAGAAGCCTCCAAGGTATTGTCTGCCAACAGTTCTGAGATTTCGGGTTCCCCCTTATCTTTAGAATCAGCCACCAGAGAGGCACTTTTGGAAGGAGCAGGGTCTTTAGTATTAACACCAGCACCAGCTCCAACCTCATCATCTAACAAGCTTTGTTCAGCTTCCACCTGGACACCCTCTTCGTCTAGATCTTTTTTTTCCAAATCAATGTCCTCTTCCTTGACCACCTCCTTCTTGACCACCTCCTCGATGACCTGCTTGACCACTTCCTTGACCTCCTCTGAGGTGCATTGTTGATCTTCTCCTTGTTCCATCACTTTCTCAGCAGGTTGTTTGCCTGTACTGGGTTTCTCTTTGTTCGTGGAGTTTGAGGTCTTGCTGGTCTCCTCTCTCTTGTGTCTGCTGCTGCGGCCTTTACTGGAATCTGCTCTTCTGGATGTGGTGGAGTCAGGACTTTCTCTACAAGGCAAAAACCATTGAGGTAAACTTCCCTGACACAAACTTCCTGATGAGTCCCATAGCCCCAGTTGAAGGACTCTTACTTACCTCAGGCGCTTCAGTGACGATGACAAGAATACTTTGACACTCTTTCCATTGATCTTGAGGGGGTTGGAGTGGTAGTACTTCACCATAATGTCAGCATCTTTCCAATCTACCATCTCAATCAGGGCCTGCAGATGAATAAGGGAGAATTCATTAGACAAAGCTAGAGAAGGTGCTGCATAATGGAGGTTTTGGTGTTGAATTGATCTACTATAGTCATACAAAAAAATAGATACACTGCATTGTTAAATTGTTTTAATTGTTTTCTATTTGAAATCACCAGAGAATTGCAGAATTTGATTGATCACACTTCAATTCCATATTGCTCAAACCTTACCTGATCGCTTGAAAATGTTGAATGCCGCACATCCCCAAACATCTTGGCGAGATCGAGAATCTCTGGTTCTCTTTCCTTCCCAGGAGGTATGCGGGAAAAACAAACCACTGTATTGGTAACTTGTTTGGTCTGCCGTTTTTCTGGTGGTTCATCCAACCTTGGCGGCTAAAGGAAAAAAACAAGCTCATACTGGGATCTCTGTGATTAAGAATACAGAATCTCAAAATTTTAAAGAGGCAGATGCACTTACATAAATACTGCACACCATAGGTGACAGGTACAGAGTCAACTTAAGTCCCTTCACGAAAGCTTGCTTTTCACTGTAGTGATTCACCATATTGACTGCCTCTTTGTGCAAACCAAACTCCAGGAAGCCCTGTAACAAAAATACAACACTGAATCATCCAATAGACATTCAACTACAGATGCAACTTTTTTTTTTTTAAGAGAATGTTAAAGCTGCAATATGTACGTTTTTGGGCGACTCGACCAAATTCACATATAGATCTCTCATTCTCATTGAAAGCAAGTCTAAAGTCTCCCGAGTGGCGCAACGGTCTAAGGCACTGCATTGCAGTGCTTGAGGCGTCACTACAGACCCGGGTTCGATCCCAGGCTGTGTCACAACCGGCCGTGACCCGGTGGCGCAAAATTGGCCCAGCGTCGTCTGGGTTAAGGGAGGGTTTGGCCGGGGGGCTTTACTTGGCTCATCGCGCTCTAGCGACTCCTTGTGGCAGGCCGTGCACGTACACTTCGGTCGTCAGTTGAACGGTGTTTCTCTACACTATACAGTGGCTTGCGAAAGTATTCATCCCTCTTGGCATTTTTCCTATTTTGTTGTCTTACAACCTGGAATTAAATTTGATTTTTGGGGGGTTTGTATCATTTGATTTACACAACATGCCTACCATTTTGAAGATGCAAATACTTTGTAGAGCCACCTTTTGCAGCAATTACAGCTGCAAGTCTCTTGGGGTATGTCTCTATAAGCTTGGCACATCTAGCCACTGGGATTTTTGCCCATTCTTCAAGGCAAAACTGCTCCAGCTCCTTCAAGTTGGATGGGTTCCGCTGGTGTACAGCTATCTTTAAGTCATACCACAGATTCTCAATTGGATTGAGGTCTGGGCTTTGACTAGGCCATTCCAAGACATTTAAAATGTTTCCCCTTAAACCACTCAAGTGCTGCTTTAGCGGCATGCTTAGGGTCATTGTCCTGCTGGAAGGTGAACCGCCGTCCCAGTCTCAAATTTCTGGAAGACTGAAACAGGTTTTCCTCAAGAATTTCCCTGTATTTAGCACCATCCATCATTCCTTCAATTCTGACCAGTTTCCCTGCCAATGAAAAACGGGGTGATGAGAGGTGTTGGGTTGGCGCCAGACATAGCGTTTTCCTTGATGGCCAAAAAGCTCAATTTGAGTCTCATCTGACCAGAGTACCTTCTCCCATATGTTTGGGGAGTCTCCCACATGCATTTTGACGAACACCAAACGTGTTTGCATATTTTTTTCTTTAAGCAATGGCTTTTTCCTGGCCACTCTTCCGGAAACCCCAGCTCTGTGGAATGTACAGCTTAAAGTGGTCCTATGGACAGATACTCCAATCTCCGCTGTGGAGGTTTGTAGCTCCTTCAGGGTTATCTTTGGTCTCTTTGTTGGCTCTCTGATTAATGCCCTCCTTGCCTGGTCCGTGAGTTTTGGTGGGTGGCCCTCTCTTGACAGGTTTGTTGTGGTGCCATATTCTTTCCATTTTTTAATAATGGATTTTAAAATGGTGCTCCGTGGGATGTTCAAAGTTTCTGATATGTTTTTATAACCCAACCTTGATCTGTACTTCTCCACAACTTCGTCCCTGACCTGTTTGGAGAGCTTGCTTGGTGGTGCCCCTTGCTTAGTGGTGTTGCAGACTCTGTGGCCTTTCAGAACAGGTGTATATATACACTGAGATCATGTTACACTTAGATGTCACACAGGTGGACTTTATTTAACTAATTATGTGACTTCTGAAGGTAATTGGTTGCACCAGATCTTATTTAGGGGCTTCATAGCAAAGGGGGTGAATACATTACATTTTAGTCATTTAGCAGACGCTCTTATCCAGAGCGACTTACAATTAGTGAGTGCATACATTTTTTTATTACATTTTTCATACTGGCCCCCCGTGGGAATCGAACCCACAACCCTGGCGTTGCAAACGCCATGCTCTACCAACTGAGCTACATATGCACGCACCACTTTCCCATTATTCATTTTGTAGACATTTTTTCATTTCACTTCACCAATTTGGACTATTTTGTGTATGTCCATTACATGAAATCAATTTAAATTACAGGTTGTAATGCAACAAAATAGGAAAAACGCAACAGCGGGATGAATACTTTTGCAAGGCACTGTACTTGCTTGTTTTGTCACATACACTAAAATTAGGCGAACTATTAGAATTTGTGCAACCAGGAAATGGCGGAGCAATTTTGGGATCGGTGTCCCGTATACGGGACGGTTGAACTAACGTGCACTAATGTGATTAGTTTGACTGTTGTAAGTAACAGCAAACTTTCCAGGATATAGACATGTCTTACATGGGCAGAACGCTTACATTCTTGTTAATCTAACTGCACTATTCAATTCACAGTAGCTATTACAGTGAAAAAACACCATGCTATTGTTTGAGGAGAGTGCACAACAACAAAGAACGTATCACGGCAACTGTTTTGATACATTCACCTCTGAAGGTAAATAATGTACTTACATTCAGTAATCTTGCTCTGATTTGTCATCCTAAGAGTCCCAGAGATAAAATGTAGTATAGTTGTAGCATAGTTTTGTTTGATAAAATCAATTTTTATTTTCAAATGTAGGAACTGGGTTCTACAGTTTGAGCCCCTGCTGTCTCTGGCTCCACACCCACCCCACCCGGCCATCTAGATGTGTGAAAGTTAGCGTATAAGCTAATGGGAGTGTGTAAACTTACATTTTGTATTACCATATCTTTTTTTTGTTTTCTATAGTTATGTACTTGAAAATGTATCAATTGACCAATTCGGCACATTTGGGCAAACTTGATACAAAATAGTCCAGTATTGCAACGCTTCACTGGATCAATCTGAAACGTTGCACACATTGCGCCTAAACTGCAATATTATATTGTGGCCTTCCTCTTGCATTTCAAATATGGAACAAAAAAATAAATAGAAAACGCATGTTTTTTTGTTTGTATTATCTTTTACCAGATCTAAGATGTTATATTCTCCTACATTAATTTCACATTTCCACAAACTTCAAAGTGTTTCCTTTCAAATGGCATCAAGAATATGCACATCCTTGCTTCAGGTCCAGAGCTACAGGCAGTTAGATTTGGGTATGTCATTTTAGGCGAAAATTGAAAAAAAGGGTTCCGATCCTTAAGCGGTCAAGAGTTTACAGTGTTTATTCCTCAGTTTTTCTTATCAATTTGTGTGACTTACCTTGCAGGGGAACACAAGATGTTTTACAACTGTGCCGAATGGCTTAGCCAAAGCCATCAAGTCTTCAACACAAACAGAGCCATGGGGAAATTTTGTGACCACCACCTTCGTGCCAGCCTGAAGCAAAATATAAATCACACATTCAAGCACGCAGCTAGCTTTAAGCAAATAAACAACATCATAAGTCAATAAAAAATGCTCTATTTATAAGAAAACAATGCCACAAAAGTGGCATCATTACCTTGGGCTTCAAATGGTGTCTTTCTGGTGCAGACCAGACTTCACCTAAAGATGAAAACATGAAAGGAGATAGTATTTATTTTCAAATGGTTTGCAATTGGACCTTATTTGGTCTGGATCAAACTTGACTTTTGAACGGGACTCGGTTTATCACCTCCTACACGGTCTGAGCTATGTTGTCTCTTGTTAGGCATAGCAGGACGTGGCATTTTTCTGGGCGGTGAAATAGCATCTCTACTTGGGATGGAGTTGGACCTGGAAGGTAACGTAAACAGTGCTAAGTAAGATGAGGAATAGCTAATGGTTTTACATCATGACATGGCTGTTTTCAACTTAAAGCTGAATTTCATGCCCCTCACATTTCCATCTCGGTATCATGTATTTTCCAATCTGGATATCTGTAAAAAAACAGAAACGAGAAAAAAAAACGATTTTGAATAAAACCAGGTAATAGGAAATATCTCAATTGATTTTGTGACCTGTATCAGTCCATTTTCTAAATATTTTACTTTGCATGAAAACACTTACAGGCGCAAGAGTTCTCGACAGCCCTCCGCATGTCGTAATCCATTGAGATGTTCCTTCCATGTCTGTGAAAAAAGCAAACTCATTAAGCTAAATGAATGCCATCATACAAGTTGAAGTGTTCTGATTAAAAGTATATAGATATACAGTCCAACAGCAAGAGTATTGAAATATAACAAAGCTTACCTTGGAAGAATTCAACATGCAGAAGCATAGAGAGCATGTGTGTGGGTAAATCTTGGGCACAACTCCATGAAAATCATCCACTTGATAGGAGAAAGGAAACTTTTGCTGGCTGTCGGATGGTTTTTCCCTTGAGAACCTAGCGCGACGGGAACCTCTCCTTGCCTCAGTCCGCTCTGGTCGACTGTGAATCTCCACTTTCCTATAGTCAGTGTCACAATGGCTGTTGGACTGGGGAGGGACTGCAGGGGGACTGTCCTGTTTGCTGCGGTCTCCATCATCTGTATCCTCCTGCTGGCTGTCTCTCTTCGGGGAGGCCTCTCCCTGCCCCTCTTGCTTGGCTCGTTTGGCCTTCAGTTGCATTATCAGATAAGGCAACGTCTCCACACTTATCTCGTTCTCTGGAATCTGGGCCAGAGCATCCACGTCTTCTGGAGAGAGCCCCAGAGTGGCATATAAATTCATAGTGCTCATCGCTCCATCACCAGATCCTTGGGGTGCAGAGCTGTGACCCTCACTGTCCTCCATCCTCAAACCTCCAGGGCACAGAGAAGTTTATTCTGAAATTGGGCAAAAATGGTGTTCAGTCATTTCAACTGATGATGTAACTAAAGCCTATTAACATGTATAAATCAAAAATTGTAGGCCCCACATTAGCGCCTTGGGATTCAAGTCTCCTTAGCACGACTGTGAAACTGAAATGTTACCATCTTCAATCATTCAATAGCTAATTAGATGTCCATTGATGTCCCTCACATAAATAATAATACGTTTCCCAGCCCAGAACAACATAGTTGCAAGCTAGCTACTGTAGCTAACTACAACGGAGGGGCCTTCGGCTTCGGCACAATAACAGCCAATTGTTATTAACTAGCTAGCTATGCATCTTTAACGCTGCAAAACTAAGCCCAATATCTTCTCAACCCCTGATGAATAAAAATTAGCTATCAGGTATGTACCATGTAGCTATAACGTTACTGTATTAAATGTTAGCTAGCTGCACGCACTGCTGTAGAACGCGCTTCCTAGCCGCCCAAAGCCAGGAAGCTAGCTAGCAAGAAGACGCTAACCATAGCTTTCTAGCAAATAAAGCAAGATATCAGAGTTTCAGGGTGAATGTTTATCCATACAGTTCAACTACAACATGGAATACAAATTGTGAATGCTGTAAAATATACCTTTTAAGAAGTCCCCTTTCAGGTTTTCGTCAAATGTGGTGGCTACAGTCTGGCCTACGATACGTGTAACTAATCCGTCTACCAGCGTCTTGTCAGCGACATTAAAGAAGTACTTCCCTGTCACGGAATTTATCAAATTTTCATAATAAAAGTTCCTAACGTAACACATTAACATGTATTTATTCATGAGATTTTAATAATAATTGTCTAAACATGAACTATGATTCATATTTAAGTGACATTTGCATTACATTTGTATTTGTGTGTGTTTTTTTCAAAGTTAAATAAATGCCCCCAACGCAATACACTGTATATGAAATACATTTTGGAAATACATTTAGGCATATAGAGAAAAAAGTATTCTATGTGGGGTTGGGAATACTCAGTGGCGTCAGTAGAAGCTACGTATGGTGTTATTTCATGGGGGACTCGTCTAAATACACAACAACACTTTTTACTCCACCCACTCCCTGTAAAAGTGGGGTTGAGAACACTCAATAGAATCTGTATAATCTATATGTAAGGGATACTCAACGAGGGGCTTTGCGTTCTATGGAAAATAATGCACGACGTGGATGGTGTGTTCATTAACCTTCCACAGAGTTGCATTATTTTCCAGAGAACGCATAGAGCCCCGAGGTGATTATCCCTTTTGTACTATGGCTATAATTTAAAACATTTCCCCCAACATTGTTTTAATTTGCAGGTATAAATGTTTTCAACATTCACTGAAGTAGATAGCAAGTTTACTAGATAGCTACAGTAGTTGCTTTGGTAAGCAGGTAACCTAGCTGTCAAGAGCAGTGGGCCAGTAACTTAAAGGTTGCTGATTCGAGCCGACTAGGTGAAAAATCTGTCAGTGCCCTCCTGTAAGTCACTCTGGATAAGAATGTCTGCTAAATGACTATAATGTGTTTTTTTAATCAAACAGACTTGCTTGTTTAGCAAACCGTCAGTCCTAGCTTGCTGTTATGAAAATAAAATTCAACAATGCCAACAATGTTTTCAATTCAACTTTTGCCTTCAAAAGCTGCTCAAATGTAGAACATGTAAGAATTAACTATAGCCATTGAATTCTACCATGGTGATATACCATGCATTCTAGAATGCCCTTCAAGCCAATCAGAAACAACTATTCAACACATGCCATAAACGGTGTTCTAAACTGGGTGGGTCGAGCCCTGAATGCTGATTGGCTGAAAGCCACGGTATATCAGACCGTATACCACAGGTAAGACAAAACATTTATTGTTACTGCTCAAATTACATTGGTAACCAGTTTATAATAGCAATAAGGCACCTCGGTGGTTTGTGGTATATGCCCAATATACCATGGCTAGGGGCTGTATCCAGGCACTCTGCGTTGCGTTGTCCCTAAGAACAACCTTTAGCCGTGGTATATTGGTCATATACCACACCCCCTCGGGCCTTATTGCTTAATTATTTCATGGGGGACTCTGGTCTAAGTACCCTGCAACACTTTCTACTCCACCCATTCCATAAAAGTGGGGTTGGGAATACTCAGTAGGGTGTGTATAATCTATATATGGTGTTATTTCAAGGGGGCATGTGGTCTAAAAACCCAGCAACACTTTCTACCCCACCCACTCCATAGCCCCCAATGCAATACACTGTAGACCTGTTGTCATTTCATACTAGACTTTCATGCACTCATTCCTTGCCCTAATGGAAGTGCCAAATACCGATTATTAGCAGGTGATTAGTTACTTACATTTTTTTTTTTCTTTTTTTTCTCCTCATACTGGTCCCCCATGGGAAACAAACTCACAACCCTGGCGTTGCAAACGCCATGCTCTACCAACTGAGCTACACAGGACTATATATATACTTCAAAGACACAATGTAAACAATGATGGACTGGCATACCTGTTAACAACCTAAATCAACCTAATGATGATGAGCCAGTTGGACCTTTTGCACATTTAAATCAGTCCATGGCCAGCATTGACCTGTGCCAAAAAATGCATCTTGCCCTGACAAATGAAATATTTTTGAGGCAGTATCCTAGTAAAATCATATTGCTATAGGTTTACATTACCCCAGATATGCATTGCCTTCCAATGATTTTCTTAAACCCACCTTGGTCACAATCAATCAAAAGGTTTGCCTCTTGGACTTTGGGTTTGGACTGATTTATGGCTCCAAGCTCAGGTAGATGGAAGTAGTTGTGGTCCCGATGTGTGTTTGTTCACTAAAACAGTCCTATTTGGAGATAACATCAATGAATTCATTCACAACATGAGATGAGAAAAAAGATTATTGCGGTAATGTTATGTAAGAACGTGTATATCAGATTCTTTGAGTATAACTGTGAACAGCATGAAAGAATGCTATAATAGTGAAGGCCATGAAAGAATGCTTTCAAGTACATTGTCAACAGAAGATCAAACTGCAACGAGGTGATTAAGTGGTGTAACCTGAGGGGTATACTACAAAGCAGGCTCAATGAGTTAGCCAGCTAACTTTGATAAACAACCAGAAATAACTATTGATTTTCTGGTTCATAAAAAAAGCTAGCCATAGATATGTGGTTTTGGTTGTTGAGTTAAGTAGACCATGCCTATTTCAAGCTTATCTTTCTAAAAAAAAATGCTTTGTTGTATACCCCTCTGCACATGTACTATGGTTCTCATGTTGTTTGGTGTATTTCAGGAGCTGACATCTTGAGCCCTGATTTTGCATATAAGGACATCCAGGACATACATACCAGGCATACCGCCTGAAGGAAGGCCTGAAAAATGTCCAAAGACTCCACCACCCCAGCCATGGACTGTTCTCGCCGCTACCGTCCGGCAGGCGGTACCGGAGCATTGGGTCTCGGACCAACAGGCTCCGAAACAGCTTCTATCCCCAAGCACTGAGACATTTGAACAGCTAGGCGATGGCTGCCCACCCTCACCCACAGTGTACCTGCACTGATTATCTGCACTGACTATATGCCCCTCACAGGTCTCTAGACAGACACTCACACACACCTACACTGACAGTCCTGCACACACACACACACTGACCCCCACACACATACAAACACTCACAACCACACACCACTTATGCTGCTGCTATATTAATTATTATTCATCCTGCTACCAGTCACTTTCTCCTTACCCCTGCCTACATCTACCTTAACAACTCCAGTATCCCGACCCTGCACATTGTACATTTGGTACTGCCACTTACCCTGTATATACCCTATATATGCAAAAGTATTTGGACACCTCTTTAAATTAGTGGATTCGGCTATTTCATCCACACCCATTGCTGACAGGTGTATAAAATCGAGCACACCGCCATGCAATCTCCATAGACAAACATTGGCAGCAGAATGGCCTTACTGAAGTGCTCAGTGAATTTCAACGTGGCACCGTCATAGGACGCCACCTTTCCAACACTAGAGCTGCCCCGGTCAACTGTAAGTGGTAGGCCACACAAGCTCACAGAATGGGACCGCCGAGTGCTGAAGCGTGTAAAAATCGTCCTCGGTTGCAGCACTCACTACCGAGTTCCAAACTGCCTCTGGAAGCAACTTGACGGGCTGGCCGAGGCGTGGAAGCCCGACGAGCCGGCCAAGGCGTGGAAACCCGACGAGCCGGCCGAGGGGTGGAAGCCCGACGAGCCGGCCAAGGCATAGTGAGGCGTGGGAGCCCAACGAGCCGGCTGAGGCGTGGGAGTCCGACGAGCCGGCTGAGGCGTGGGAGTCCGACGAGCCGGCTGAGGCGTGGGAGCCCGACGAGCCGGCTGAGGCGTGGGAGCCCGACGAGCCGGCTGAGGCGTGGGAGCCCGACGAGCCGGCTGAGGCGTGGAAGTCTGACAAGCCGGCTGAGACGTGGGGTTGGAGCCTGCCGAGCCAACCGAGGCAAGAAACCTCTCGAGCCAGCGAAGGTATGGAAGCCTGACGAGCCAACTGAGGCATCCCCGGTTCCCTAGGCCACGGCACCCAGACCCGACTTCACCAACCAACACAAAAAAACGAAAAACTCCTTGATGCCTCCAATATTGGAGTCTGCATTCTGTGAGGACAGATGCTGGGAGACGAGAAGCAGGTAAAGGAAGTGAATATTTAATATAAACAGACATGAAACAAAACACGGACAGCGTCTGGACAGGGGAAACATTACGACTGGAATGAAACTGGGGAAGTGACAGATATAGGGGAGGCAATCAATGACGTGATGGAGTCCAGGTGAGTCCGATGAAGCGCTGATGTGCGTAACAATGGTGACAGGTGTGCGTAACGATGGTGACAGGTGCGCGTAACGATGGTGACAGGTGTGTGTAACGATGGTGACAGGTGTGCGTAACGATGGTGACAGGTGTGCGTAACGATGGTGACAGGTGCACGTAACGATGGTGACAGGTGTGCGTAACGATGAGCAGCATGGCGGGAGCAGGCATGACACCCTCCAAAACGAAACATGTTTGGTTAGTAGACACCCTAGGTAGTAGCCTAAACATTTTCCTTGACAGTCCAATATTTATTCCATAAACAGTGAATTACATTGTTCTGTTGCATGGGTAAATAGTCACAACTCTGAATGACCAAATAATTATCATTTATTAGCAAAAGATAGCAGTGGTGTAAAGTACTTAAGTGAAAATACTTGAAAGTACTACTTAAGTCGTTTTTTGGGGGCATCTGCACTTTACTATTGATATTTTTGACAACTTTTACTTCACTACATTCCTAAAGAAAATAATGTACTTTTTACTCCATACATTTTCCCTGACACCCAAAAGTACTCGTTACATTTTGAATGGCTAGCAGGAAAATCGTCAAATTCACGCACTTATCAAGAGAACATCCCTGGTCATCCCTCCTGCCCTTGATCTGGTGGACTCACTAAACACAAATGCTTCATTTGTAAATTATGTCTGAGTGTTGGAGTGTGCCCCTGGCTATCCGTAAATTAAAAAAACTAGAAAATGGTGCCATCTGGTTTGCTTAATACAAGGAATTTGAAATGATTCATACTTTTACTTTTACTTTCAATACTTAAGTATATTTTAGCAATTACATTTAGTAATTATCTTATATAAAGTAGTAATTCTCTTTAGTTTTTTCCCTGATGTAGCT